GATATTGTGAGACTTTAACAAAACTAAGGCGAGCTTGGTGACAAGCGCTTTGCATATGACGATGACACGAAAAATGCTGTGGAGTCGTGGTTATCGAAATTGGCGGGAAGTTTCTTTGACGATGGTATACAAAAACTGGTCACCCGCTATGACAAGTGTTTGATCATTGGCGGAAACTATGTTGCAAAATAAATTAAGACATGTATTTTCATGTAAAAATAAAATTGGATTCGAAAAAATTGTTTTACTATTTTTTTTTTTTTTTTTTTTTTTTCAAAACGGTACTTAGTTTACGAATATGCCTCATAACTACCATACAGAAGGGCTCTAGTTTGAATCCTGAAGACATGGATGGTTGTAAAGTACAGTGTCTTAACTGTATGTGGGCAGTCTAAATATATGGTGAGCCGAAAGTCCTCTTGTATAGTTTGGTCGAACGGGAAGAGGGGTGGGATTATCCTCGGGTGCTTTCTGTCAAAACTGAGGTGGAACTGGGCAAAATTGTTCTGTCACTTATATGGTGCACAAGGCCAACAACAGATACAACCTTGCACTCCTTGCTTCAACAACAGATACAACCAACCTTGTACTCCTTGTTACCAACAACAGATACAACCTTGCACTTCTTGCTCCGATAAAATTTGTGAGCTTGTTCTAATTAGGTCAGACAAAATGAGATTAGTCACAACAACAATTAATTGATAAAAATTTGTACTCATAGTCTATATAGAGCTTCCAATAAAATCAGTATGCTTAATAAAATAATAAAAATTGACAAAAGTTTTTCACAAAGCATAAAAATTAAGCAAGTTGATTAGTGATAGTTTATTAAATAAAGAAGTATCAAATCATTTAGAATCCCGCATATATGACTGGTGCAGGTTTGGTGGGATCATTACCAACTTTCATGGTTCAAAATTGTTGCCACAGGCCATATGATAAAACTGTTACAAAATGTACAAGTGCGGTGGGATGGCCTTTCCTGCAAAGCAGTTTCAGGGTTGCCACATTTGACGAGAAACCGCCCGTTTGGCGATATACCATGGACGGATGGAGAACCTTCTGGAACAAATTCTTACCGGTTTGGCCCAGAATGTTCTTGAGAACAAGCCGAAAGCTATATAAACCCTGCTGGTACGCAGAGAGTTAGTATCAAGAATGTGCCTCGTCGAGAGGCCGAGTCAATGTGTGCCTCGTATAAAGTGCAAGATAGTATCGAGTTTTGTCTTAGACAGTGCCTCGTTGAGAGGGCGAAGGAGAGTGTGTGTCTCGTCTAGCGAGTCAGTCCATGCGGAGTCGATCAAGTTGACAGCCGGGCAGCGAGTGCACCGAAGGAGTCTGTTAGTGTATCGTGGTTAGTGCATCGTCGAGAGAGCGTGCTGAGCTTCGGGAACGACTGAACCGAAGAGTCGGGAGCTGTGCTTGTGTGCATTGAGTGCATCGCGAGTTGTAGTGTAGAGTCTCGAAAGTACATGGAGTTTCGAGAATAACCAAGCAGAGTCGGGAGCTGTACTCTAGTGCTTTGCAGGAAGCTGTCTCCACCGTTATTGCCTGACAGTGTGAAGGCTGTGTCACTGATTGTTCCAGCGTGTTTATAGTAGATCTTTGACGACTGTAAAAGTGTTGTTGGAGCTGTCCTGATTAATATTGGCTAAATAAAGCGTGTTTCGATAATTCATTTCCAAGTGTCGTCATTATTCACTCCAAGTCTACGAACTCCATACGAACGTGAAGGAAGTAGAAGAAAATAACGTAACAACTGGTAACAGAAGAAAACGCAACAACTGGTGTCAAAAAAAGAACGTAACAACTGGTGTCAGAAGTAAAAAAAACGCAACAATACATAAGTGACAACTTTGTACCAATTACAAAAATAAAAAGTTTGATTGTGTGACAAAAACTGACTGAAATTTAATTTCAAAATTTTGGATACTGGAATATAAAAAATAAATTAGAATAATTTAAGGTTCATTTTTCCTTTTAAATACCATTTAATAATATTCTTCTCTGATTTACTAGTGTGTAATATTCTTTAATTTATAAATCTGTTACAACTGATATGGCAAAATAATTTTTCCACAAGTAATTTATAAGTTTTCAGATGCTACATATATATATATTCAAATAAAAACAAAAAATCATACAAAATCATACAAATAACTCATTTCCCCCCTTAGTAGTCAGGTAACATAAAATTGCTTCGGTGGCCAAAGGTCATGAGTTTGAAACTACTGCCCTACCTGATGATTTATTTTCAAATGATTTATTGTTATCTACAATGACACAATTTTAGATAGAAATGAAGGTAACAGACTATATAAATTACAAGCAAGAAGATATTTATGTAGTTTTTAATCATTTCAATACATGCGATTGTCACTAGTGAAAATCCAGTTTGACACAGAAAATATATGTGAACAAGGTTCATCACTTTCACTTAACGAGCTAAACTAGAGAAATAGTGACAAGTTAACTAATATTACAAGTTGGCTGTGTGTCAATACTGAAGGCTGCTGATGTTTTCTCGAATGTAAATTTCACAAAATTCCATGAATAAAATCTCCTTTTTTGAAACAATTTATACAGTACAAAGTCTGTATATTTATACAGTACAAAGCCGATTACGGATTATAGATCATAAATTTAAATCTGGTAAGATGGCATGCAGAAGTTATACAATTAAAAATATGAAACCGTAATTTATGAAACAAAGAGCAATTATGATCTAACAGGTATCCAATTTTACAAAAAAAAAAAAAAAAAAAAAAAAAAAGCTTCATATTTACTTGTTCACTTTATTAAACATTTCTTTTAACATGTGCATGCGTAATGTATGCACATTCTTTACGCGCATGCGTAAAGTTTGTGGCTTTGAAGTGCGGATTATAGATCATTCTGGATAACGGATGTCCGGATTACGAACTTTGTACTGTATTGATCAATATTTTTCATAACAATCTACACAAATATGCTCTTCATTTAATATATATTTAACACCAGAAAATGGTTAGAGTAGATTTATGGGTGCCCTTTGGATTATCACTAAGTTGCTTCATTTATCAGCAAGTTGTTGTTTCATTTATGGTAAGCTGAGTAGTTCAATGTTATGGAAACCCTATTATGATGTAATTGGTTGCGTGACTGCGATAAATTTGAATGATGAGAAAAGATTTGTAAGTGCTTGCGTGTGTGTTGGTTAGGAAGTACGTTGGTTAATTTGTGTTTTACGTGGTAAAATGGCTGAATGTGGTAAGATTAATTTGAATTTCTGTATGATTTGGAAAGAAAGGGAAAAAAGCATTAATTGACCGGTGTGTAAATGAAGGTTTACTTAGTAGCCATTATAAGTGTCCTGTTTGTAGAAAGGAAATGTGTATGGTCGAACGTCGGAGGATACCTGCACTACAGAGAATATTTTTTACTTTTATTTTTGTGAATTAATGTGACTATGCCAGTATACAGATTCTAGTTCAGATAATTTTAGGAAGTTTTTGGATGTTGTTAAGGAATTTTCTTGGTTGCATGATTGTGGTGAATTTGACTGATGGGAAAATATTTGTAAGGGCTTATTTCTGCATTGGATGTTAGTTAGGAAGTATATTGTGTATTGTGTGCTTTTGCACTGTAAAATGGCTGCTGATAGTAAACTGGGTGTTTGATGGTATACAATGAGAGACCGGAATGTGTTTCTTCTCTGAAGTGGTTGAAGACAGAAGAAAAGAAACTTTGTTGGATGTTCAACAGAATTATAAGTGTCATGAAGGAAATGTGTGTGGTTCAATGTAAAGATCATTCAGATGGCTTTGAATGGGTTTGTCACAAGAAAGGTTCAAATGCTCACCATATAAAGCATTCCATTAGAAAGGGAACATGGTTTGAGGAAAGTTTTTAAATGCTATTAAGGAATTTTGTATGCCACGGACTGAAGACATAGAATTTCCTGAACAAGGTAAGTGGATATGTCCTATTCAAGTCCAAGGTAAGTGCATGGATGTGATATAAGATGTGTTTCTTTTTTTAATGTCATTTTATTGTTTGATTTAAAAAGCAATTTATTGAGATTACTTTTTTTTTTTTTTTTTTGCTCTAGTGTAGAACTGGATGCTCCTTCAATTTAAGTGAATATAGATCGATGTGTACATGTACAAAGTCAAGTCAGTGTGCAATGCCAAGTTTGTGCAATTCTCTGATGTTTTTTTTAAGTGAAAATAGATTGATGTGTACATGGACACGAGTTTGTTTAATTCTTTGACTTTTTATTTTGGTTTTGTGTAGCAGCCATCTTGCAATTGTGCTTTGCTGGCCAATCGCCCAATTTTCACTGAGGAGCACCCTTAAATATATTTTTACCAAAACTTTTCTAAACCGATATTTGAGTTACGTTGTAAATATTTCACTCATTAATTTGAGCATGCCTTCTGAATATGATCCTCAACTTTAAAATTAAATATCTCACTAAATTTTCATAATAAAAAGGTCATATTTTTTAAATTTTACTTTTGATAATGAGTATAAAATTTTCTTAAATGTAAGAGGAATGTATAAAAAGTCAGATCTTGTAATCTTTATAAAACTGATTTTTTGAAATGCAATAACATGAATATTTGTAGCATTTAAAACATTTTTGTATTCTAACATTTCTACAATCTACAGTTGTAAAAATAAAAGCCAGAGATAAAGACTTTTATGCACACAGTATATTTATATAAACCTGCTTGGATAATTCTTTACTTAAGCAGTTTCATATTCCTAATTTTAGATGCATTAACTAATTCAAAATGCAGATTCCTATCTAAACAATATTTTTATTTAATGCTTCTCACATACATTAAATCATTAAAAAATTTTTTATTATTATTAACTTTCAATAAAATCATCATAAGATTAATAATCACATAAAAATCATCAGGAAGCTCATTTAACAGTAAACTAATATTAAAAACCTTCAATCATATTAAGATCAGATGATGATCTGACATAAGCTGAAAATATTAATTTACCATTTTCCTCTCGAATTGTGGCATACAAGCTGTTAGCTAAAGGGCATGAGCTGTGATTACAAAGTCCAGTTAGATTGTATTCATTGCGACAGAACTGTTGAGTCTTTGTGCTAAAATGATAAACATTTTCAGTAAACAGCAGAATTAGCTTATAAATAGAAAAAGATAAAATAAATTTTATATATATATATACTTACTTAATTTTATAAGAGCAAAATGATTTACTAATAATCATCCAAACAGCCTATAATAATGAATAAAATATATAAATTATTAACTGAACTGATACATAAAGGAAAGTACATTTTATTATTCTACATAAATAAATCAGCATTGTTTGAATGTGCTGTTTAACTTTATTCCACAAGCATATTTAGACATATGCTGAATAGGCAGCAGACATCTGATAGCAGACCCATAACATCATAGTAATACTGAATTTTCTAGATCATTCTAAATGATTAGCAATTAGAAATTTATTATTCAGATCCCATAATCACTAAACTAATATCTTTACTAATGTCATATATTTTATGCGCGAAATGGTCGTAAAATAATTTTCGTGCCTTCATATTTTCTCCCACCTCCCCAACAGATATTTATAGCTGCAAACACAATTACAACAAATCTTTTAGCTGTGATATAAATGGTAGTTTTGGAATTCTTTAATATTTTAATCCTATAATTACCTTTCAACAGTATACATATAATAAATACTACATAACATACATATTATAAATACTAAATACTGTGAAATTAAATATAATAATGTAATTATTGCTTAAACAATGGATATAATTATTAAATAATCTTACAGAAAAATCTTTCATGGCATAACTATGGTATACTGTGGTACTAATTTACATTTCAAATTTAAAAATGTCTCTTGTCCTAGCTACAATATTTATATTCTTGAAATACTTTTCATATACTCAGATAATTTAAAGCATCTCAGATAATTGCACATGTCAATATACTTATCTTACTTTCTTACAATATACTTATCAAGTATATACTTATCTGACCAGAACATATGTACACTTTATATTATCTACAAATAAACATTTTGAAAGATTTAACAAACTAAAATGTTCAGTGATCCAACTTCTCTGCAGCCAATTCCACACTATCCTGCTAAGAACTAAAAAATATGCACTTAGAACAAAAGTATTCTCTTTTCCCATCTTTCCATTAAATGTTCAAATATGTAATATCATTTAACCCAAAATAGCCAAGACATAAATACTTTTATTTTCTCTCGTTACGAAAAAACTTACTAACTTAAGCCCGAGTACCAGAAAATTTGCTCATTCAATTATGTTGTTCATAATTTATGCATTTAATTTGCTTTTTTCAAATTTTACAAAGACTTGAAAAATTGAGACTACACTTAAACTCTTAAGTGGCAAAGTCACACAGCAGGTTCCTGGGAATACTTCCCTACCCTGCGTATAGCAACGTAAGGTGATGTGCATAACTTTTTCCTTTGCACAGCATAATTTTAAAGTCCCCAAAAAAATGTGAAAGTACATTATAAAAATTTGAAGATTGAAGAAATTGCAATTGACTGAAACTTCCTTTTACAGCAAATAATTCATTTCTATGAAGTATAATAAATTTTTTTGGTATTCTTCTGATATTGGGACCTGATTCAGAAATTTATATACATATGCACGTGTGTGGGTGTGTCTATACACACATACATGCATCAATACATACATTTCTGAATCTGATCCCGATAACAGAAAAGTAAAAATTTTTTCATAGATCTAATAAGATGATTTAATGTGCGAAATAAATAAAGATGAAAAGCAAGTACTTCCCATTTTCAGGGCTTCCATCATAATGGCCCCAATATTATTGTTAAGTTTTTTTTAAATTAAATAAAATGTCTCTCTTGGAAGAATGGTGTAGCATCTCTCTTAAATCATCAGCAAATAAAAAAAATTGTTAATATTTTCATTTATTTATTTTATTTTATTTTTTAAATTGGTCTACTGATAACATTAAAATACAGCTTTCTCACAGCTCTTGTCTTTTCCCAGGCATCAGTAAATAAAAAAGTGCAAACATACTTTTTAAAAAAGAAAACACCTCAGCATGCAACCTACTAAAAGCGTTTCTCATGACAAGTAAACTAAGTAATCATTGTTAGCGTAAATATCATTCTAACTTTCAAACATAAGAATAAAAAGAAATGGTGAATATAACACAATTTATAAAAATTACAATGCAAAATAAGCAACACTGAACAGGGCAGTAATTATTACTCACAGAAGAGATTAGAGCTTAGAGAATTGCAATGCATATCTTAAAATTTAATCAAAACTGATTTGTTCTTGTCTTTTTTTTTTTTTTCCATGAAGTAAAAAATTTACTGTCACGGTAGCTAAACAAATAGCACATTCACTTTATTTTGCCAACCATAAGTAGTTTACAGGATAACTGTTAGTGATTTACTGCTATTCTTAGTAGCATTTAAAAACTGGGGACTGTAACAAAGGTAAAGTACCAAAAATAATAACATGGAGATGAAAATAAAGAAGGTATTCTAAATAGATAGGTGCATATTTTTTATTCAAACAAATTTAGAATATAGGAATTACTTTAAACCTATAAAAAGATGCGTTACTATTTAGCTGCATGAACATACAGCAGCCTCTAAGCAGTCTGATAATTATCACTAAGTATTACAACAAAGTTTTGAATTGTGCATGATGTTTTACACAATTATTCTTGCAATTTTTTTTTCTTTTTTTTTCATAATATAAAATATAAAATATTATTCGTACTTCGAAACATTTTCTTGTTTATGCATAACTGTTTTTATTTTCTGTTTTTGTAAAAAGTAAAACATTGAATTAGGATTTGATACTTCATAAGATACAGAGTGAGATTTTGTTAAAAAGTCCCTACATATATGAACATCATTAATACGGAATAACTCTGGAGCTTTATTCTTCCATTAATACTGCAATCTACAGTATTCACAGAAATATAAAAATTCTGAGACAACTGAATGCATAAAGCAAAGAAAACATTCCTGTATATGATAAAAAGTTACAGAATTTTTCTGAAATGAATGAAAGATGCGTAAGTTTTTAAGATTTGCTGCAATAAAAGTTATTTCTTTTAGAAATCTAAGAAATACAGCCCCTGATGAAAGAATACCTGTTTTCAACACACTGTGGCCAAACAAATCTAGATTTGGCACATTGACAGCTATGCTAAAATTCAAAGCAAAACATTACCATGGAATGTGAAATTTTTCATAAGCCTTAAAAAATTGGGGAAAGTGCAGAATTGGCCACTGCTTGGCATGTTTTTAAGAATTGCATATACTATAGGTCGGTAACCTATATACACATGCTATAGGAAAAGAGGTTGATGTGTACATGGATACTGATTAATGTTTACGTCAACCTATTGTCACTCAAAAAAAAAAAAAAAAAAAAAATCCCAGAATTGCACGAAAATGGTACTGCGCACTTCCTTGACTTTTATCCATGTACACATCAACCTATTTTCACTTAAAATGTCAAAGAAAATTGACAAAAATCCAATTCTTCTTACTCTTGTAAAAAGCGCCAAACAAATAAGTGGGCGATTCAGCACTCTAGCCAAAAAATCAAATTGTTGCAAATAACTTCATCAAAATATTAATTAGAGAGTCATGACCTAATATAGTTCATCATAAGTATGGCAAGATTTTTATACAAGTTCAGTTACTGAAGAATAATAGGCTAATCTTTGGAATATGGTAACAGGTAGTTTGGCGACATTTTGGTAAGGCGATAAAGGTTACTAGCTAGGACTTTAGCAGTGTACATGGATAAAGTCAAGAGTGTGCGCAATGCCATTTTTGTGCAATTCTGGGATGTTTTTTTAAGTGAAAATAGGACGACGTGTACATGGATGATATCGTGTATGTGCAATTCTTAAAAACGCCGCAAGCAGCGGGCGATTCTGCACTTTGTCCCAATTTCGCACCTAATCTTCGTCATGATTAAGCACTTTTGTTCCATAAAAATTCTTGCATAAGCGTAATTCGGCTAGCAGATTGTTGGAAAAAAATGTTGAGTAAAAAAAAATTTTTTTTATGCCTTTACATCGTGAAAATAAAATAGCGTCCAAACAAAAACTAGCAGGTTGCTGTAGCAGGGTTGGTCGCCAAAAAATCGCCAAGTTACCATAATCCAAAGATTAACCGAATAATAAGTTCAAGATGTTTATCAGTTAAAACATTTTCTGTCATTTTTCTTTAAATTTTTTTTTAGATTTGAAATGCCATACTTAATCCACATCCCATATATACCACCTAAATTTCATATTTTCATCCAACACAAATATGCCTATGATTAGTGACATTTGCTAAAATTAGAGCAATCCACTAATTGAACAATGGCCTAATCCAATAACAATCCATGATTTCAGCATTAGACATGCAAAATATATAAATTTCTGGCTGGACTGTATCATTTTTTGACCAATTCAGCAGATACAATCAAGAATTTTGGTTAATCATTGGACTATGGTAACTTGGCAATTTTTTGGTGAAAATTTGGCGACGAACCCTGCTGCAGTAACCTGCTACTTTTTGTTTGGACGCCATTTCGTTTTCACGAAGTAAAGGTATGTTTTTTTTTTCTTTTTTTACTCAACATTTTTTTCCAACAATCTGCTAACCGAATTACGCTTATGCTAGAACTTTTATGGAACAAAAGTGCTTAATCATGACAAAGATTAGGTGCGAAATTGGGAGAAAGTGGAGAATCGCAAACTGCTTGCCGCGTTTTTAAGAATTGCACATACACGGTATCCATGTACACGTCGACCTATTTTCACTTAAAAAAAAATCCCAGAATTGCACAAAAATGGCATTGCACACACTCTTGACTTTATCCATGTACACTGCTAAAGTCCTAACTAGTAACCTTTATCGCCTTACCAAAATGTCGCCAAACTACCTGTTATCATATTCCAAAGATTAGCCAGAATTTTTTGTTAATCTTTGGATTATGGTAACTTGGCGTTTTTTTGGCGACCAACCTTGCTACAGCAACCTGTTAGTTTTGTTTTGGACGCCACTTTTTTTTTTCACGAAAGTAAAATCGTGTATTTTTTTTTTTTTTTTTAACTCAAAATTTTTTCGAACAAGCTGCTAGCCGAATTACGCTTATACTAGAACTTTTATGGAACAAAAATGCTTAATCATGAGGAAGATTAGGTGCGAAATAGGGAGGAAGTGCAGAATCACCCACTGCTCGCCGCGTTTTTAAGAATTGCACATACATGGTATCATCCATGTACACGTTGGCCTATTTTCACTTAAAAAAAATATCCCAGAATTGCACAAAAATGGCATTGCGCACACTCTTGACTTTATCCATGTACACTGCTAAAGTCCTAGCTAGTAACCTTTATCGCCTTACCAAAATGTCGCCAAACTACCTGTTACCATATTCAAAAGATTAGACGAATTTTTTGTTTGAATACCTGTATAGGCATGTCTGCTGCTTGCACAGCAAAATTACATTTTATACATCTGTGAAGCTGTATTTAGCTATTTGGTAAAAGTTTACAATTGGGTGCCCCTTGTTTTTTGGTGATTCTTTTTTGATGCCAAGAAGACATAATTTCAAGATGGCCGCTACACAAAACCAAAATAAAAAGTCAAAGAATTGCACAACTCTGCGTCCATGTACACATCGATCTATTTTCACTTAAAAAAACATCCCAGAATTGCACAAACTAGGCATTGCGCACTGTTTAAATTTGTCCATCTACACATCAATTTATTTTTATTTTAAAAAATTCAAGAGGCTACAGCAAAGTTACACGGTTGATCTTTACATTATGGTAACTTGGCGTTTTTTGGCGACCAACTCTCCTACAGCAACCCTCTATTTTTTTTCCCGCCGCCATTTTGTCTTCATGAAGTAAAGACATGTTTCTTTTCTTTTTATCTACTGAACACTTCTTCCAACAATCTACTAGCCGAATTACACTTATGCTAGAAATTTTATCTCTAACAAAACTGCTTAATCATGCATCATGACAAAATATTCACTGCAAAATTGGGAAAAAAGTGCACCAATACCATACTCCTTACGCGTTTTTTTCAAAATAACACATACACATAAACCATGTACACGCCGACTTATTTTTACTTAAAAAAACATCCCAGAATTGCACAAAAATGGCATTGCGCACACTCTTCACTATATCCATGTACACTGCTTTTTTCTCATAAATTACAAAAATTTCACGAAAATACATGACAATTTTCTCAATCTTTAAAATCGGTAAAAAGAACATATATGAAATTACCTGATCGCGAAAAAGTATTTACCCTTTCCAAAGATGAACATTTCCACATATAAAATAAATAAAATATCCAAAAACTTTTACCTCTAAATCATCTATTACATTATACACGTCACCAACGAATTCATACCGCAAGCATTACAAATACTTAGTATCAAATATTTAAATTATTTCCATGCACGTTTACTTCAACTTAAACGTGTACCAAATTTCTACAAACATAAAATTCACAAAATAACTATCATTTAATAAAAATATCACTAAACCATGTACACGTCGACTTATTTTTACTTAAAAAAAACATCCCAGAATTGCACAAAAATGGCATTGCGCACACTCTTCACTTATATCCATGTACAACTGCTTTTTTCTCATAAATTAGAAAAAATTCATGAAAATACATGACAATTTTCTCAATCTTTAAACCCGGTAAAAGAAACATATATGAAATTACCTGATCGCGAAAAAGTATTTACCCTTTCCAAATATGAACATTTCCACATATAAAATAAATAAAATATCCAAAAACTTTTACCTCTAAATCATCTATTACACTATACACGTCACCAACGAATTCCTACCGCAACAATTACAAATACTTAGTGTCAGATATTTAAATTATTTCCATGCACGTTTACTTCAACTAAAAACATATACCAAATTCCTACAAACATAAAATTCACAAAATAACTATCATTTAATTAAAATATAATTAAATTCAAAAACACTACTTAAAATATAAATGAGCACATACATTAAATTAATACATACATAAATACCCATTTCGAATTCACTTTAGTTACGGCCATGGGATCCAAAAATTCACAAACACTGTTTTCACACAACACAGAATAAAGCCAAATACAAAATTTCCAGATTTTTTTCCCCATTTCCCCCCTTTTCCGATTAAAGAACCGTAATTCGTCCATTAATATCACATGACATATCCCATGATCTCTCATTTCCCTCACACAAAATAATGCGTAATCGGAACTGAGTACTGCTCACATTATTACCAAAGTCCCAGGTAGTAACCTTTATCGCCTCCAAAATGTCGCCAAACTACCAGTTACCATATTGTAAAGATCAACCAGTTACACTATCATGGTAACCAGAAATAAGATTTCATCGCCGAAATTTTACAAAAAATTGTCGCTAATCGAAGGGGCACCCAATTCTACACTACAACTAGCTATTTTTAAGAACTCATACTTAAGTAACAAAATATGCGGAACGTGAACGAAAGAGGAGACCTAAGATGAAAGCTTACTAATTAAAAATGCAATATAAATAGTCTAATAAATTGCCATCAAACCAGCCTTTAAATTAAAAATAAATTTTAGTTCAGAATCATATCATAATGCTTAGTTAGTTTTAAATTTTCTTCGAAATACAGTTTATTACACAGAACTGTAATTATTACTATTAAAAAAACTTTATATGAAACAGAATTAAAAAGTCTTTAATAATATCTAAACCATCATTAGCAGTCTCTGAACTTTTATAGCATTATTAACCAAGATTAAATGTTTGTCAAATCTTAATCCAAGCTATTGTGAAAAAGGTTTATTCTGGTACCAGAGAATCTAATAATATCCAAACACTAAATTACAATTGATCACAATAATACATTTATCACAACAGAAGACAAACAATATGAAATTTGACAAACGAAAAAATAGTTCACTTCAACTAACATCATCACTCTGCATTTTGAAAAGATATCCTATAATTCGGACACATTAACATATACACATGCAACACCAGCAAAGACATAAACACGACAAAGTACTGCCATTAGTATCGTCGGAATTTTCAGGGAATGGTAATAAATAATATGTATGGCTTGTTGATTAGCGCGGCGCATTAAAAAAAAAAAAAAAAAAAACGGTATTTTAATTTGTCATCTGACTTTGTACATCCAAAAATGAAGTTAGCTTTCCCGAAATGTTTGATTTTGTTCAAGGAGGCAGAAATTCTCACTGTATTAGTGAAGCCGAGAGAATTTTAAAAAACGGATCATTTGGTAATGCACGGGATTTTAATCCAATGTACAAATTTTGGCTTCCTATTTAAAGATAAGTTCTATAGCGCCTTGATCGAATGAAATCGAAGGACATTTCATTGTTGAAGAAAGAGAAATAAAAATTTTTTATTTAATTTTTTGTTCATGTAAAGGAGGAACTGCTGGCTGTTGGAAACATTGTGTCACTGTTTGATTGTATTGCGACAGGTAGCTGATTTTAACGTTCACTGATTGCAAACAAATGATTTCAGATATGTTTATTTCGGGATTTCCAGAAAATCTGTGCAGTCAAAGGTGTCTTTTTTTTTCCATAAAAATGATATTGAATCATTATGCGTCTACTGTATTTATATCTATTATATACATAATAGTACTAATTATCAGATGTAATTTTGAGAATATCTACAAGCAAAGCACTTAAAAATGAAAAAAGACACTTGTAATAGAAATATTAGTATTCCATATGTATTATAGATAATACATGTAATGAATAATACTATGGCCAAATACTTCAACAAAAAAAAAAGAGCAGATTAAGTACTCCCTACCTCAGTACTTGAGAAAGCAATCCTGCCATATAACATGTAGTTAATTTTTGATTGCATGATATTACAAGCATTTTCTTTAGATTGGTCCTGCGAGTGGTTATAACAACTGAATACTGGTAGTTCAGTCTCGGCTCAAATTCTGGTGAACAAGCTGGCTGTGTAGGGTTTTTTTTTTCCCACATGTGTTTTGCGAATACGAACAAGTTTTCCCCTATAAAGTTCTTCATAAAGGCATTCTTCTTCAGGCTGATAACCAATGTGCTTAGCCATATTCAACTACCCTAATCTAACCTTACCTTTCCTTTAGAGTCTATATTCACATGTTATATCTTGTATATGTTAAGATTTGTTCATAGCAGGACAATGATCACCAAGCTTCTACCAGTCTGGCAGGAGCATACTCAAAACCATGTGATTTATAACAAAATCGATCATGTTTTCACCTTGCGATCCTTTATAAATGTTCCATATTTTCTTAAGGATTCTTAATAATCTTATTATTTAGAAATGTCTTTATTGTTGCTTTTATATTAACAAAAAGATTTATTATAAGCTTTAAATATAAAATATCAATTTTAAAAATAACTGAAGTTTTCTTTTAATTAATGCTTACTTTCAGGGATAGCTAGAGGGGGACAGTTTTTATATATCATTCTAAAGAAATAACTTAAGATTGATTTGCAACACTTGGTATAAATTAAGATATTTTTAAAAATGAATTAATATTATTTTCAGACTTTTTACTGTCACACTAAATGTAGAAGCTAGAAGATTTGAATTTTACATCTAGCCTCTTCATTTAATGACATAAAATGTATTTTTGCTCGTCCGAGATATTTTAATGACAAATTTATTCATTCATTTACAACGTTTATCAGATCAAATCAATATGTATATCTAGTGTATCAAATATATCTGGTGTTATCAAAGGTTTCATTATTCTTAGCATTTTTCATATATACTATAATTTTCTTAGTAAAAGTGCTGTATGCAAAAAATTACATACTGGCAATGAAAATTTTGAGATTGTGCAGTTGAAGTGAAGATGTTCTTGTTTCAGAAAAAAGCAGCAATATTTGGTAGAAAATGTCTAAAACAATTTTAGCCAAAAAAAAAAAAAAATCACTAAATTTTCTTAAAAGCACTGATGAGACATCCAATACGCATATATTTTCGATGAGGCTTATATTCACAGGTATCAACACTGCATAGAATCGACACCAATTCTAGTTACTAACATATAAGCAACACGATAAAATGAAGTTTTTATAATGACGTAATAATAGGTAAAAGAATTAATGCTTATTTGCTCCAGGAATACAACTAATACAGAATATGTTTGAGATTATAAATATGGTTGCATCTTTAAATAGCTATGCAAAATCTTATTTCTTGAAACTAAAAGGCTGTGTATTCATATATTATCCTTATTCTACTAAAGGTTCAACATGTTCTTATTCTACTAAATAAAAGCTTGTTATAACTAAAATAGGAATGCATAAACAATCTAATATATTACTGAACTGATTCAAATCCACTGTCCTTGCCTTTATTCGCTAACTTGTATATCTGTATACACATGTCTGTGCACGCTGTTTCATTTACTCCAAAGTTATTTAGTTATATGCAACCATATTTTGAATAATGGCTGAATAATGAAATTACCTTAAAGTCTTTTTCCTTATATAAGGATTTAATAATTTTATCACTAAACAAATACTTGTGTGTTTTACATTACATTTACATTACAGAAAAACATAAGCCAAAAAATTTCTCAAAAAAGATATATGTGCCCGTTTGACCTTTCCAGTGAGAAAAAATACTTTCATCATCAGCTAATTTTCACCATGGAGAAATTTTTCTAAACTACTTTAAAAACTTTTTATTACTAATACTTACTTCAAAGCGAACACTGGTATAAAAGATAAGGAAAAAGCATTTAACTATGCTCAGCGAGATGTATATTGTTCTGTAAGAAATTGTTTGGCGCGTGCTATTCTGTAGTGGAAAAAATTTGATATCTGTAATACTTTTTATACTATTACTCATACCAGATAACCACCGCTATTTTCTGAGCTTGAAATTTTTTATGCTAACTATCCTCAACCACTGTAAACTGTTCTAAATAGTTTAAGAGGAAATGACTCACACATAGAAATTTTAAAATTACTAGACTATGAAATTCAAAGTTCATCATTAACTTTAAAATACTTAACTCTTATTTTCATATGTGTCATGCTATAAGTTTTCATTTAAATCATTGCTAAGATGAACTGAAACAAAATTTTAATTTTTGCAGGTAAAATATGCATGAAAACATAATTGTATATGTATGTGTATTAATAATATTTAAGAGATCAATGAGCTATAATGATTTATCCTTCAATACACAAATATGCATGTTTACTTTCGAAGAACACACACATTTATATATATATATAATATACGAGAAAGAAATTTTGCATATATAAAGAAAACTTTTCTTAGAAAAAATGTAATCAGTTTTAAACGCTTAGAACGCACTTTCATATAATGGCCGACTTTCTTTCCAATTCGAAATACGCGAATCCACTCCTTTCTTCGTTTTGCTATCTTGTTCGATATTTTTCGAACCAAGAATGCGATGGAAGCATAACTCAAGTTCCTTACAAGCTCGTGAATTACACTGGGGGGGACACAAGAAAACGTGCGGTCTGTAGTTCTTTCTAAGTTATACATAATGCCCACAACAATCAAAAATAAATGTTTAATTACTTTTCGATTACAACACGCTTCACAAACTACGTAGTATTGTCAAACGTAAATACCGATTTTTTATGTTTTCACCCTTTAGCCACTAGATGGCGTATCAGAGCGCTGGAATCGAGTATAGTAACTTTCAGCGTCACTCTCTTTGAGCAATTATCATTTCTTTCAACCGTAAGTGGTTGTAACTTAAGAGTAAGCACTTCTTTGTTCCCTGCTAAAAGGGTTCTTGTGCCCAGATATTTGATTTAAACTCAATTTTTTTAAGGGAATTCCTTTAATTTATTACTACTTTATCATAACAATACTAACTTATTTATCTCATGTTTCTCTTCAGAGGCAGTTCTGACCCTGTCTTTTTAAACTTAACTCGTCTAACGAGTTTCCCGCCCCCTTCCCTCCCCAGATCCTAATAACTTGCGTCGTGAATGACCTTTCGCGAGTGGTTCCTTTCTCGTGTTGTTAACATCATAAGATCATTGACCAAGGAAATATCCAATCTTTTCAAATTTCATGATGTAACCCATCAAAATTGGTTCTGGACCTTTATTCGATCTCAAAATTACTAAATTAATTAAGTCCTTTAGTGTTCTTACCTCTTTTTTTTCACTATGTAAGGTAGTTCACCTTTTGTTATTATGACAATTCGGCACTAAGGCTTCTTTTCCGAACCCTCTTTTTGATGATATTTATTTAATCTTTGATGATGTGGGTCTAAAGGCATTAGCCTATGAGCCTCGTAATTGAACCTTTCCTTGATCCTTGATCTAGAAACTTACTTTTATTTCACATTTATTTCCTAATCTATTTTTATTTTATATCTGCTCCCAGATCTGCTGTTTGCGCAAAAGTTCCTCTTTTTAAATTTATTTCACTTTTAAATTCATATCACTAATATGTTCCAATTAGAGTTGACAATACTGGAGTTCACACTAGCCACTTCACAGTGCAGCACTGAGAGTGTTATTGGGGAATATCCCAGAGCAGTTTCAGGAAAGGAAGATCCACAGTTGATCAAATCTTTACTTTGAGACAAATATTGGAGAATGTAATGAGTATGGAATTGAAAAATCATCATTTGGTTTTCGATTTGAAGGCAGCCTGTGATAGCATTTACAGAGCTCAGTTACTAAAAGCCCTATCTGAGTTCAGAGTTCCAAAAAAGTTAATTAAGCTTGCGAGGCTCTAACCGAAACCATGTCTACGGTTCGAGTTCAAGGACAAGGGACTCCTCTTCAGTTTAGCTCTAGAGAAAGTCATAAGAGATGCTGTTATTTATACAAGAGGTACTCTATTTAGTAATGTTGCTAATGCTTATGCTGATAACTGCAAGATCTACAGCTGGGCTAGTACAGATTTTTTCGGTAATAGAGAATTCAGCCAGGAAAATTAAGCTCGGAGTGAATGCGAAAAAACTAAATAAATATGTGTTCTGTGGTCGAAAGGAAAATCTACTTAAAATATTTCAGACTGGCCCATTAAAATTTGAA